TAGTGTAATCCAAATGAATGCAGAGGGCGATAGTGTAATCCAAATGACACTTGGTCAGAGGGAAGGTACGCCCTGACAAGGGTCAGAAGACATGTGACAAAATAAATTCAATCTAAACTGTTTCTGATCAACTTAGCTCAACTATTCCAACTATTTTATGAACTTTAAACTGTTTTCCAAACCTACATTTGGTGACGTACGCTGAATTATATCACTGCAGATCACTGTACTACAGTTCTACAGGAATATTAAACCTCAGTTCTGGGAAGTTGTGTAAAATGTAGGGATGCACGATATTATCGGCACGGTATCGGTGTCGGTCGATATCATCGTTAAATTTCAATATCGCACATTCCATTAAAATAACTCCCAGATGTAAGAGGCTCTGTCTTTACCTGCAGCGGCTGCACAACGTGATGACGTCACGTGCTCTACCTGATCTCACGGAGGAGAGGAAAATTCAAAATGTCGGCGGTGTGGAAGTTTTATTTTTTGTTGGTGAGGATGTTGGATTCAGAGGATTTATGGACGACGTTGAGTCTCGTTACATCGTCCCCAGTCAGAGATTTTATTCCGACGTAACGTTACCCGAGTTACAAGACGTCATTTCAGAGGTCGTTAAGAAGCTAACAGCTGATAGCACGACTTGTTGGGTGAGTTTTACCTCAGACGTTTGGACGTCGTGTTAGCCCGTTAGCATGATTAGTCTCACGGAACAATGGATAAAAACTTTGATCTTCAAAAGTCTGTCCTTCATGCACAGGAGTGCAGAGGATCCCACGCTGCAGCTATAGGAACCTGGAACAAACCTCCACAGGTGAGACAGCATCGCAGGTGACTAATGCTAATAAATAACATTTAACACTTTTCATTTAATAAAAGTCAAAGTGCTGTGCTGTTACTGAATATATGTCACCAGCTCTTACAGCTGTTGCACAGTTTTTGTAGCAAATAATCCTAAATAAGATGTTATGTTCTGACAAAGGAACGTATATAAAATATTATCGGCCCAATAAGTTTTAACATATCAGCATATCGGCCAAAAATCCAATATCGTGCATCCCTTGTAAAATGTAAATAAAAACATGGTAAACGTATTGAATCTTAAAACTATGAAACGTAGCATGTTAAAAAAATGTAGTAATTCCCAATTTTCTGTTGAGGAACAGAATTCTGAGGTCGTGCTGTTTCTAGACAGTTTTTCCAGATGCTGGTAAACCCCGGCCCATCTTTACTTCACTCCTCTTACTCACCTGTTGCCAGTTTGCTTAATTTGTTGCAAACGCTCCTCCAGCTGTTTCCTGTTTGTGACACTTTTACAGCTTTCCATTTCCCCTGCCATGAAATTCAAACGCCATTGTTTTTCCTAAATAACCGTACACTTCTTCAGTTTGAGCGTTTAATATATTTCCTACGTTCTACTGTGAACAACATATAGGTTTATGAGATTTGCATATGTACATTTTTCTAATCCGGTTACATAAATTTAACAAGATTTGGCTCCAAGTTTCTCGAGCTCTAATTTCCCGGCTCCCTTCCGGCACGTGCAGATGTGTTGATAGGATAAAAGTTTCCGTTTGTCTCCTTCAATAAAAGCGTCTCTCGTCTTCACGGCTGGATGGAGCTCTCTCAGGCTCTCGCACATCCTTCACTTTCCAGTTCCTGTAGGCCACTGGAGACCTCTATTGACCACAGCATCAATAATGCAGGTCTCTAATGTCTCTGCAGCATCTGATAAACTGCAGCCACCCTCCCTGCTGTCCATTCTGCTCCTCTGAACACACACACATAAATAAGCAGCTAAGTGGGGGACTAATGAGAGCGGTTGAAAAGTTCTGACATCGTGTTAGACGCCGCTGTTCCACATGAGCTTTGGAGCAAACCTAATGGGCACTAGCTTAGAAGGACAAGCAAATCAATGAGGAGCTAAGTGAGGCTAAAAGGAGGAGGACTGAGTATTTAAGCAAAGTACGACTGGCTAAAGGCGATGCAATATTTACAGGCCGCTCGTTTGTGTGCTTTCCTTCCATCGTTAATCCTGGAGGGGACGACACGCTGACAAACACCACGCCCAACACACAGACTGAGCTTACAACCAACTTCAACAGATCATCCAGATCTTTGGAAACGTGTTCTGTCAAAACACAATTATTATTATTACTCTGGAGAAATAAAGTTTACTTGAAACCAGACTGACGATCTCATCTGAGTAGGGCTAAGCCCAAAGTTTCCTTTAAACACTTTTTTTAAAAATATATTTACATTACATCAGTTTCACATTGTTATTTAGATCAAATTCTCGAGTTATTCGAGAGCATCAATAACAGCACCAGCACTTTTTGAGCGGACTGGAGCATTTATGGCAAGAACGTCATATTTCTGCCACGATAACCACGTAAGGTAAAGTGACGGCGGTGAGGAGGTTTGTAAAATAAAAACCCCTAGTGGACGTTGTCGACTCCGACGAGTCGTTAGCTCGTTTGTTTACTTGAATGTAAACTCGTGATCGAGGTCAGCCGACGTCACGTGCTGCCCAAACGCACGGCGAGAATACCTGCCAGTAAGAGCTGCGAAGGAATTGTGAACTTAAGTTAATTCGTCTAAAAACATCCAACGCAAACCATCAGCTGAAAGGCTGGATATGTTGTCTGCTGACTTTGATAAGGTCAATCATTTCTGTTACACTGCCATAAACAAAAAGAAATAACATTCACGTGTCTTTATTGTTTACTTGTATCAGCTTGCTCCTACAAACTGGCTTTATAGATACTAATGCTCAAAGTCAGTATCTTATCAGTATACACGTACTTACATCTTTAACATCTAATCAACTTTTATTTGCTGTTTGTGTAGCTTTGTTACGATTAATCTTTGTATGGATCTAGTATAGAGCTGCATGAACGGGTAAATGAGGCGCAGGTTGTTGTAAAGAGCTTCGAGTGTCTGGATCAGACAGAAAGGAGCTGTTTAAGTGCAGTCCATTCACCATCACTTGTTTTTTATATACAGTAAATACAATTTGACAATAGAATCAGGTGTAAAAGCCCCAGACTAGAGCTGAAGCTTGAATACTGGACGCAGCTCTGAATGTTTTGGGTGCCACACTTTAAACATCTGCATTAGAATAAGTGAAAGGGTCAATATTGGGTCGTTTATATACACAGAAGTTTTATAGAATTTTTATGCTGCTTTACATGTAAATCCCAGGCTGAATTGATATGGTACTTTATTTTTTAAGAGTTATTTATAACTACTTTGAAACTGTAAAATTTCAGACCGTTATAAGAGTTCACGTCAGGGATGAAGTTAAAGCAGCAGATCTCTTGTGATGACGTCATTCTATATCCCAGCTGCACCAACATGTTTCTGATCACACAAACTCCGTCTCCGTGCTCGAATAAACTGAATTCACAGCAATAAAACATTTACAACAAACTTCAGGGTTAAAGGGCCAAAACATCTTCATGTTTCACAGGAAACTATCTCAGTCTTTGCTTCTTGTGCGGATCGAACATTCCCGCAGAAATCCAGAAAATGCAACTTTCTACAATCAGTCAGAATAAAATGCAGCACAGAGTCCGGGACGTGATGAATACGGATGTCAAAGCACGGCTGCACACAAACAGAACTTGAATTCTTACCTGGCTGCTGAATAAGGCCGCGGCTGCAGTTTCGGCAAATGCTCTGAAAGGCAAGCACAAACGTCAGTCATGTTGTCGTCTCGCTAAGATCTGGTTACACTTTTGACAGAGCGGAGAGGAGGAGGAGGGGAAGGAAGAAGAAAAAACAGTGAAAGTCATCACAGTCCTCCGAGACGTCCCAGGTTATAGTCTTGTTTCTGGGACACACTTCTATATTTATGAAATTACAAACTCAGGGTTACAGAGTCCCATGTGTCCAGATGTGGAGCCAGTAGGAAACAGATTGCTTACGCTGAGCTTATTTCCATGCCAGGCATGAAGGTGCCCTCTTTAAGGTAAATTGTGTGAGGAGGTGTGGCAGAAATCAGGAAAGTGCGAGATAACTTCTCACCCCGTAGCAACAGGACATTTACTACGCAGTGACCCTGTACATCTGACGGTTCTGTGACGTGACTGATACGCACGCGCTCAGACTCTATTTGTAAAATGACAGATGAAGCGTAAAAGCAGCCGACGTGCAGCACACGCAGCAGCTGAGGCTCTGCATCTTTCTGCTAAACGGCTCACAAAGACAAACAGCTGGAGGAAGACGTCTCTGCACCTGAACGGCTCAGATCGACAGTTTCACGTCGATTTCATCTTTTTTACTCTGAAAGCACGGAGGAAACTAAAGCAGCCCAGGTTTCTCCTACTAAATGCTGCTTTTTATTTTAAAAGAACGAAACGTAAAGATCAACACGTTAATTTAAAAACTAGAAAATATTTAAATAAACAAGTTTAACTGGATTGATTAAATATAATAATACAAAAAGTTTGAACATGTATGAACAAAAATTACTAAAACAATAATGAACAATCTAAATGATAATCAGTCAGGGATTAATTATTTTGTCCAAGACTAAATTAACTCTTTGAGCAGGAATTGTTTTGGCTTTTATTAACGCACAAACTTGGACAAAGTTTAACTTTGTGATAATAGTTTAGTTTGGAATTTCACTGAGAGAAGTTATTTAATGTGACCAGATCAAGTCTTTTATTATCACTGCCAGCCAGGAATGATTGATCGAGCTGCATCAGCTGACGTGACATAACCAGACCCAAAGTGGCATTTACCGTACGTTACAAAGTCTCAGACCCTGACTGGCTCCGTTTCAGGGCTGGTGGATCAGACCAGATACACTGAGGACAGGACTCGCCAGGAACTGCTTCAGGGGTCAGTGAGGACGACTACTGATGAGAAGGTGCACGGACCATCGGCAGCCTTCAGCCGGCTTAGACTTGTAGCTGAAAACGTGAGTCTCACAGAGAGAAACAACGCTTCATCTTCTGTATTTACTGGAACTCTGCTTTAACAGAAATTGTTACTGAGCAAACTTCTTGTTTGATTTTCTCAGGAATAAACGAGACGGACGTCAGACGACATCAGGATGGGGAAACACAGGAACTGAAAGAGTCTCACAAAGAAACTTTGTGTGAACCATCAGCTCTCAGAAGTGTTTTCAGGATCTCTCAGACGTTACGACTCCCCTCTGAAGAAAACAGATTCCTGCTCAAAAACGCTCACAGGTGTCTCTAAAGGAAAGCTGTTTTCTGTCCAGGATGTCCCTGTGAAGGACTGGAGACCTGTCCAGATTGTCCCTGTGATGGACTGGAGACCTGTCCAGGGTGTCCCCCGCCTCTCGCACATTGATGGCTTAACATGGGCACCAGTGACCCCCACGACCCGAAAAGAAATAAGCAGGTAAAGTGGATGGATGGATGGATGGATGGATGGATGGATGGATGGATGGATGGATGGATGGATGGATGGATGGATGGATGGACGGACGGGTGGGCGGGCAGATGGATGGATGGATGGATGG